AAGTGATCCTACAAACACCGGTGTGTTACCGGTGGAGTAGGCTCCGACGAACAAGTCAGTGTGAATGATAATCTCTCTGGAGAAATTGAGATATTGAGTTAGGGTTTTTTGCCTACCTCCAAACGTCGATTAGCCCTCCCTATTTATAGGACTTGGGTCAGGATGTTACGTAGCGTCCACGTCGTCCTTAATCCTTATCATAATCTGTTGGCCTAATCCTTATCGTATTCTGCAATTCTTATCGTAATCTGTAACCTTTATTTTAATCGTAGTCCTTATCTTAGTCTGTAGAGCCTATCTCAATCTTATGAGATAGCGCGTTATTTTAACGATCTTCCTCTATCCACGGGTAATTAAATTATAATCATCATATATAAACAGAGAATTAAAATATTACAATTCTCCAATGGTTGATGGATCTAATGACATCAATATTTTGATCCACAAATGAGGATGTCAACATCATAACTTTTCCTTTAACTAAAAAAAAAAAAAAAAAACCATCATAACTTTTATATAATGGTTATGCTATACGAAACAAACATTGTTTCGGTTGAATATATATATATATATAGAGAGAGAGAGAGAGAGAGAGAGAGAGAGTAATTGTCATTTGTTATTGCAGTTGATAACTATGACTGACCTAAAAAAGATTATCCTCTTTCTTGTAATTGGGAGGCCCAAGCTCATTATCGAAAAAAAAAAAAAAAAAAAAATGCAGCAGCATCACTCGTTTCCTGCAGGTCCAGAGCAAGCTCGATTTTGCGCACAACATCGACTCATTGAAGGGCGAAAAATATAGAACCTTTGAATGGTAAGTAAAAAATGAGAAAGGGATTTATGAAAATAACATAAATGCCAGGATGTAATATATCATTTTCAAAGTTTTGGCATGGATTTTGATTCCTTACATAAAAATAAAAAAATAAAAAAAACATTGGACTTTTGACTAGACTTTGTTATTTCTTATTTAATTAATTAATATAAGAAAAAGACATGCAGAGATGGAAAACTTCACTAAATTATTGAGAATTTTGTCAAAATGTGGGAGTTGGTACCGTTTGATTTCAGTGAAGACAAAGCTTTCGTAAGACAAACCATCCACAAAATCCAAAGACAATTACCAAAAAATAAAAAAGATCCAAAGACAAACACAGAATGACAGAGATAAAAGAGCCGAAACAGATGGGTGCTTTGGCTCTATTATTATTATTTTTCATTCATGGGTTTGGCTCAACTGTTTTGCGACACTATTCCATGACTTCAGCATAATTTATATTTAATGTATTAACAATAATTTATTTGTTCGACCAGGCCAAATAAATGTGTACCACCAATATTGACTATATACCATCATCACTTCTTGCAACCGAAGGATCATTACTTGTAGCACGAGTCTCACTTTAAATGGCAAGTATGCAATTTTCCAAGGATTCCGCACCTTAAACTCATGAGAAATTATTATGACGTAATTCTAAACTATTGATACTTGCTAGAATAATTAAATATAGACTTTTTGGTTGAAATAATAACTTAATAACAGTGTCCTAAACAATATCTTACAAAATGTCGTAATTGAAAAATTAATTGATCAAATATCAAATAAATTAGGACCATCTAATAATTTCTCCTCAATTCATTCCATACCTCACAACTTATGAAATAAATATGCCAAAATATATCAAATTAAAATCCCCTAACTATATAGCAAATATACAAAATACATAATGTACATCCAAGGCTGTATAATACATTGGTAGTATAAATTGCAGTGATCGGGGAATCAAATATGAGTAATAAGAGTAAAATATATTCCATAAAGAGAGACATGGTTTTATTCCAATTTAATGCTTTACGGCACAAAGAATGCCAACAAAATAAGAGAGGGGAAATGGAACTAATACACCAAGTTACCATACAAGGCCAAAAATCAAATCTAGAATTCTTGGAGCACCAAGAAAAAATCAAAATAAATAAGGTACATACAATTATCATCATTCCATTTAACCCGAAAGAATATGAGTATCATTAAAAATCTATCTTTAATTTTTTAAATTTTAAATTTGTGTTAATATTTACTGGCCTGTCACTTAAAATGATAAAGTTAGCCTTTCTAAGAGAGCATCTAGGCATTGTCCGTTTGAAAATTGTACTTACACAGGTCACATGTTAAAGTCGAGAGTGAACTGCTAGTAACTGTGGCTAGCATCCTCCGGTGTAATTAAACTACTCGTATATACTTCATAAAATACAGATTCTCCACTAATTATTGAGCGCCTCTGTCTCTCTTTCTCTTCCTCCTCTTCGGCATTGCTGTTGCCACAATCTCTTTGATTCAGTGAAAGGATAACAAATTATGTATCTCTATCAACTTAAAATCATCACCACCATCTTCATCGTCCATCATGTCTTATTAACCAGCCAATTTTTTATTTTTTATTTTTTAATTTCTCTCTCCACTAACCCTCAAATCAAACCCCGGCCTTTTTTGGTGTGCGTCAACTTTAGAAGACAAGGCAGTGCTTAGAAGTCGAGCATGCTGATTCGGATGCCATTGATTGCACAAAATGGGTACAGTTTTGAATGTGATTTCTGGTGGTGTACAAGTATATAGGATAAAGTATAAAAAAACCCCTTTTTACTATCGATATAATGTAAAACGGTTTTTGTGTGGTTAAAAATCTACTTATATTATTAAGTTGATGCAAATAGGTCATGTGTGGTATACAATGACGATAATACCCTCACTCTAATTAAATAAATTAATAACTATAAATGCAGACAATGTAAAATGACCCTTTTATTCATTTATCAAAAAATAATAATAATAATAATTATGGGAGAAGGTACTCTGTAATTTGATTTCTGCTGCTATAGTTTCGCCGTATGATCTGATGTTGTGCAATGCGATCGATATATGATAATGCTGATTACTGATAAACCATTTTTTGCAGGTATGCGTGGACCAGTGCAAGATGTGCCACTTGTGAAAGCCAAATGGGGTGGCTTTTTACGGCCACAAATAAGAGATTGAAGCCCGGGTCGTTTTGGGGCATTAGGAGTTCCCAAGTTGCCGATGACATGCAATGATGTTTAACGAATCCACTTAAGTCACGATCTAGCAGGGCCTGTATATGTCTCTTCGTGTTCATCCAAGAGCCGGGTTTTCAGTTTAACAATTTGAATTGAGTCTTTATCTATTGAGAATATAGCTTGCATGTTTTGGTAGTAGATCTGATAAAAGGCTTTGTAATTACTTCACGAAATCATAGGTTGATTTGTTTTCATGTTGATTAAAATGCCTTAAAAAATCAATCCCGTGTATGTGCACGCTTTTGCGTGTTGGTAGATGCGGTCTAGATGAGATTGTTGGCTATCACAAGATTGTCCGACTTGTTTGTAGGAGCACTAGTATTGTATTCGGATTTTGGTCTATTATGTAATGTCAGGTATTGTTAATCTAGTTGTTTCAGGTTTTGTTTTCGCTTATTGTTGCCGTTGTTTTATTTTCATTTACAGAGTACCTCATATAGCCATCATTGAGACACTACAGAGATGAGAGAGAGAGCGCCAACAACACAGAAACTACGCGTGATTAAAATCACATTTTGATTGCAGAATAAGGTTTACAAGACCAAGACGAACACAACGCTACAAATAAAAGCCACAGACGACGTTACACGCGTCACCTGAAATTCTGCGCGTAAATCTCAAGCGCTGTCACACACCCCACACGTCTTCTCCGGCAAATTTTCTAGCAAGAATCTGGTCACATCTACAGTGAGTCGAGCCGTTCAATGTGCTAATGGGTAAGGGACAAAATGGAAATCAAAAGGATAAAATAGAGTTTTCATATTGATTAATTTTTGTCAAAAAGTGGTCAGAAGGACTTATTTACATATTTTTAAAATTTTATGAACTAACATATACATTTTATCAAAATAGAGACTAATTTTGTACAAACCTTATATATCAGAAATTTGAAATTTTTTTATACTTGACCCATATATATATACCGAATGAGATTTGCAAGAGAATGGTGTTTGGTAAAGAGAAAAAGTGAATAGACAACGGTGGTGGGCCGGTGGATTGCAGTGTGTATATAATAGTATATCTATAGAGAGAAAGGGAGAAATATCTATAGAGAGAGTGGGAGAAATAGCAAACCGAGGCAAGCTGGGAAGAAAAAGGGGAAAAAATCATTTTGCACACAGATATATTGTGATAGCGGAATTGAAAAAAAAAAATAAATAAATAAAGAAGATGGGGGATGAATACGCACATTGTGGTTCCGGAATTGAAAGAATTGATAAGCCTTCAATCGGAATGGCCAGGAGAACAGGGAACAATATAATAAGAATGGATAAGAGCACGGAAAGAGTATTCATTACGGGCAATTGGTCTTTTTGTCAACTCTTTGATTTTTTTATTTATTAAATGAGATTAAAATAGTGGGGATACATATGACATTTCATCCTTTTTCTTTTTTCTTTTTGCCACTCAGAAATTTGACAGAATTCTCGTATTAAATTTTTGACATGTTTGTATTTACCTTTATATTCGGAATAACGAAAAAAGTATCTACATGTTGTTAAAGCAATTTGTGACTATCACTCTCTACCTGAAACTCGGTCTTCTTTTAACTTTTTAGTGTGCATTATTCAGAATGCACAACTCATAGAAAAATAATAATATTAATAATTGAATTAGTTTTTTTTTTTTCTTAGATGGTGGGTGTTGTCTTTAATTGATTGTTCTCAAGTATTGTGCATTTGATATTATTCATAAACACTGGGACAAGGCTTGTTTTTGGTGTATGCCAGCCCACGCGTTAACTGACTTGACTTCTGAGTACCATCCCAAACGAAATAAGATATTATAGTGTCACTGTTACCTTGTCAATTAAAAATAAAATGCTTTGTTATGACCTCTTTGGGCTCCTCTCAGGCATTATTGCTGTTGCCACAATCTCTTTGATTCAGTGAAATTAAGAATCACAAATGATGTCTCTGTATCAACTTAAAATCATCACCACCATCTTCATCATCGTCCATCATCTCTTACCCAATATCAATGGTAAATTGCCCGCGCAGTATTATGATATCGCCGTTAGCTGCGGCTCCTACGGCAAATCAACTGCACTCGACGGGCGACAATGGATTGGGGATATTTCATCTCAAGAACCCAAACGCAAATCAACAATAATCTCAAGAGCCAATCCTTATATGACATCCCATTATGACAGCTCGGTCGTCTCGTTCCATGCAGATCATCCCATTCCCTATATGACAGCTCGGTCGTCTCGTTCTCACTTCACCTATACATTTCAAGTCAACCCCGGCCAGAAATTTATTCGCCTGCACTTCTATCCACATTCATACCCCGGCTTTGAAAGATCCAAGTCTCTTTTTACTGTAAAATCAGGTCCGTACACTCTCCTTAGCAACTTCAGTGCTTCCCTTACTGCTGAATCTTTGGGTGTAAAATATTTTGCAAAAGAATTCTGTGTCAACGTTGGAGAAAATCAACTACTCAGCTTAACATTCTCTCCGTCTGACGACACAACTTCTTTGGATGATGACGTTTATGCTTTTATTAACGGAATTGAGATCATCTCCATGCCTGACAGTCTTTATTACACGCCCTATGGTGATTTGGGTGCTCGTGTCGTTGGCAACAAGTTATGGTTCCTTATTGATAAGGATACTGCTCTAGAAATGGTTCACCGCTTAAATATCGGAGGAAGATGTATTTTGTCGATAGAAGATTTGGGCGGCATGTTTCGCATGTGGTCTGAGGACAAGAATTACTTGTTACAATCGGGTGTTCTACCACTTACCACCACTACTTTGATCAAATACGTTTCTACACCAACACACTTTGCACCACTACAAGTATATCAAACATCATGGTCGATCCGTTCAACCGAACAAACAAATCAGTGGTACAGCTTCACATGGAAATTACCGGTAGATTTTGGATTCAGATATCTGGTTAGGCTCCATTTCTGTGAGCTTGAAATCACCGAGAGCGGCCAAAAAAAGTTTGCGGTTTCAATAAATAATAAGATGGTTGAGACTAATGCAGATGTGATCGAATGGAGCGGTGGAAACAGAATTGCAGTATACAAGGACTATGTAGCCATGATCCAAGGAGACCGAATGAAGGGCAGCAGGCGAGATCTAATCATAACTTTGCAGCACAAGTATGAGTCAAAAGCTAAAACGATTGACACATTCCTAAAAGGTATAGAGATATTTAAGTTGTCCAACCCCGACAACAATCTCGCCGGTGCAAATCCTGTTCCCACGACTTGTGCTCCAAGATCTTCAATCCCAAAACTCCGAAAATTTGTTTCGGCTTTAGGCAATAAAAATGTGATAGCAACAGGTACAATACTGGTACTCACTTTCATTGTTTATCATTTAAATATTTTGGAATCAAACCCTAGCAAAACAAACAATATTTCGTCATCGTTGTTGGATGAGGAGTTGTGCCGACACTTTTCACTTGTTGAGATGCAATTGGCCACCGACTACTTTGATGATGCGAATATCATTGGTAAAGGTGGATTTGGCAATGTTTTTAAAGGGCTCATCGACAATGGAACCAAGACTGTTGCCATAAAACGGTTAAAATCCGGGTCAGGACAAGGAGCTCGCGAGTTTCAGGCAGAGATCAATGTGCTTTCCAAGCTCTCGCATAATGATCATCTAGTCTCTCTGATTGGCTATTGTGATGACTGTCCGGAGATGATCCTAGTCTACGAGTACATGGATAATAGGAGTCTTGCTGACCATCTCCACAAGACTAGTAGAAACCATAATGGTAGTAATCCTCTTCCTTGGAAACGACGACTCAACATTTGTATTGGTGCTGCACGTGGGTTGGACTTCCTTCATACGGGTAATGGCGCCCACCATGGAATCATACACCGCGACGTGAAGAGTGCAAACATTTTGTTGGATAGAAGTTGGGAAGCCAAAATTTCGGATTTTGGTTTATCTAGAATGTATACTACAAGCCCGTCCCAGACCCACATTAGCACAATGGTGAAAGGCACGTTCGGGTATATGGATCCAGAGTACTTCAACACTCAAAGACTGACAAAGAAATCAGATGTATATGCCTTTGGTGTGGTATTGTTCGAAGTGCTGGGTGGGAGGCCGGCTGTGGATTTAACTCTAGAGGAGGAGCAGCGTAGCCTAGCCCAATGGGCCAAAAAATGCCTAAGGAACAAAAAACTTGATCAACTCATTGATCCCAGTGTGAAGGAGCAAATTTCACCTCGTTGTTTAAAGAGGTTTGCTGAAATTGCCAACAAATGCTTGCATGATGAACCGAATGAAAGGCCTGCAATGGCTGATGTCGTGAAGACATTGGAATTAATTAGAATGGAGTTGCAAGGAATGCCCGATGCAAATCCTTTATACCTCTTTCCTCAGCAAGCTGAAGTTCCACGTGCAACCCAAGCTCCTGCAAGTGGGCAGGCCGTAAACCCTTTATACCTCTTTCCACATGTAGGTGGCATTCAATTCCAAGTTAATTTTCATTTTCCTTTTTATCTACAACTCAAGTTAACAGACCTTTCCCCCCTCTGGAATCAGGGCTTTCCAAATGTGGGTTCAAACACAAGTGCAGGCACCTTGGATTTCCGACGCAACAGTCAACAGGTAGGTAGATCGGGTACTGTACGGACCAACGAAAGGCCAAAGATGAAGGTTTTCGTCAAGACTCTCAAAGGCACTCACTTCGTGATCGAAGTGAAACCCGAAGACACTGTAAGAATCTTTTTTTCTCCCCTCTCTATCTCTATCTATCTATATATATACAGGCATAATGATGTAAAAAATAATTGTGCGCGTCTCGAATTGAGTTGTTATTTGTCTGACTCGTCTGAATTAGGGTTTTTCTTGTGCAACACCATGACATCTAGGTTTTGGCTTTTCTTGCTGCATTGATTCGTTATAAAGTGGAATTTGATATCAATTACTGTTGAAATAGTGTTTACATTTTTGAAGTGCTTTCGTCGTTGTTGGGTGATTTTGTGTTTTCATTTTGTTTTTGATGTGGTTTAGTGCTGGAGTATTTCTAATTGACAAATACTTGATTTTTAGAACTTTATGGTCTATGGAATATGTAAATGAATTCGAAGTCGTGATTTATGTGATTTACTGCTGAATGAGACAACTCTCTATTGATCAAATTACAGTTTTGTTCCTCTGCCCTATATTTTGCTGTGTGGGAACTGTTAAAAAATTAACTATAATGTCATGATACTTTTAGGCTTAACTTGCTTGACAAGTAATGGCAGCAACCGGAGAATTTTTTTAATAATTTTAGAAAGATCTTCCATGCATGCACATGCCATCTGTCCAAGTTCTTTAATTTATTACTGTATTCAATTATAATGTTGATCATCATCGTTATACTATTAAATCTTGTGTTTGGTGCCTGGTTTCTAACATGATCCATTTGCTATCTGGTATGTGGTCAAATCTTCATCTATCTTTTGTCTACTATGATCTGTGAGCAAGGATTATGGTCAACCTGTTTACTTTCCCTAAATACTTACTATAGGAAGCTCCATCATAAGGCGATTGAGTTGGTTGCCTAAGGCTCCATGTGTTAAAAAGGACCGCCTAAAACATTATAAAGGGGGCCACATTATACCAATTGTAAGTTTCCTTGTCTAAAGTATTAATGCTAATGATTTTAAAGTTGAAAAGTTTGAACGAAATGGAGATCCAAAGATTCCTATTCGTTAGCTATATGGGACCTAATTGAGTGTATACATTAAATAGGAAGGCTTCCCATTTTGTTCAAAGTCATCCGTGTGAATAGCATTAAGCATTAATTACCAAATGTAACCAATTCTCTCTCCAATTTTCTCAGCTATGCAAGTATATTTAACATAAAAATAATAACTTTACCATTTCTGTAAAACTACAAATCTTAGACATTAATTATGTATTGGTACATATAGTTAAGTATCCAAATATAAATTTATTTGAGATTTGAGGGTTTTGAAATACTTGACTAATTATATAGATTTTAGGGTTTGGAATTGTGAAATTGAGTTGTGAAAGTGAGTTTTTTTAACGTCTTAGGAAAATATGATTTTTTTTTTTTGGTTAAAGGATAAGCTTGTATATAAGAAATAGAATGTACATTGTGCCCCAAGTTGGGGAGGAACAACAAACATAGACAACCAAGGCTAACTTATGACCACCAAAATTTTCTAACAAACAAGTAAAAAAGTCCTCAAATTTTGACCCTCCACCAGAGCAGTAATGTGGTCATACGATCACTCACACATTAGTTCCATATACCATGATTCAGGGAAGTAGCAAAGATTGTCCACAGGCAGTGGCGCACCCTTGTTGAAAAAGCAGTTGCATTTTTGAGACAGATGAGATCCTCTTCAAGTCAGAGCTAGCTTTGAGTTTGGTTGTTGCTGGTCTAGCTTTGACACAACTTTTGATCTGTGCTATGATGCTATGAGATGAGGTTGACTGATTCTTAAATGCTCTAGCATTCCTTTCCATCCAAATGAAATACAGAGCTGCAACCCAAAGTATCTTAGGCACCAAGAATTTAATGGAGCTCCAATGAGAAAAACACCAATGCAACAGCTCAGACTAGTTGTCTGGCCTAATGTAGAACCCTGCCACTTCTTGCACAAACCTCCAAATGTGTGAAGTGAAGTCATATTTGAAGAAGAGATGATCAGTGGACTCCCAAGCTGAGTTACATAGATAGCAGCAGTTAGTGTGGTGTTTGTGAAGGATAGGTTTGGCATCCAAAGTATACAATCTTTCCCTCACGGCCAGCCAAAGTATGAGACTATGCTTAGGTATATGGTATTTGAACCAAACAACTTTGTTTCAAGTGAAAATTGGGGAGGGTGAATAAAGTATTTATAGGTGTGGGACATTATAAACTCTTTGGTGGGACTAGGTATCCACTCAACACAATCTGGATTAGAGGAAGGGTGAGGCAGTTTTGGTAGCTGAGAAAGGAAGCTTCTGGTTTGGAAAAATTGATGCAGTTGCAAAGTGTTTGGATTAACCCATTGGTTGTTAAAAATTAGGCTATCAACTAGTATGTTGTTATATAGTTGAAGAATTTCCAAACCATTGAGCCCCAACTACTGGACAATTAGTAACCAGTAGTCTAACCACAACCTTGTATCCTTCCCTTCCCCCACCTTATGCCTTATTAGTCCTCTTGCCATTGATCCTAACCCTAGAAGCTTTCTCCAAAACCCTGAGCTCAGACTTGAGGGTTTAACTGACCAAAAACTTTTGGTTTTTAAAAGATAAACCTTGGACCTTTTCACCCATAGGCTCTCATTCTTTTTGCAAATTTTCCAAATGTGTTTAAGGTTAGCAACTCTGTTAGCCAAATCCAAATCTTAAAAACCAAGTCCTCCATTAGCTTTAGGTCTGCAACCAGCTCGCCAAGCAACCTTAGCTCCTTTGTTCTTGAGGTCCACTCCAGTCCAGAAAAATTTTCTAAGCAACTGGTTGATCTGCTCAAGAACTTTCTTTGGAAGAATGAATGCATATAACCAATAAGCCTGAATGGAAGCAATAACAACTTTGACCAACACAACCCTTCCTGCATATGATAAAAATCTTGATGTCCAACTTCCCACTCTTGCAGTTGTCCTTTCAATGAGGGTTTGACAATCCCTAGTTTTAATTGAAGATGATGATAGAGGAAGGCCCAAGTACATCACAGGTAATGAACCTTTTTCAAATTGGAATAGTGATAAGATAGCAGTTTTCAAGATATGGTCCACCCCTGAGAAGAACACTTTAGACTTTGATCTATGGAGCTGCATACCAAAGATTGATGCTGCAGAAATGGTTTAGTGCTTCCAATAACACCTGAACTAAGGCAATACTTGCATGAGAAAATATCAAAATATTATCAGCAAAAGTTAAGTAAGTGATTGAGAGCTTCTTGCATCTCCTGGAAAATGAATCTTGCAATAACCACAATTTGCCTATTCACACACAGTGTTAACACCTCCATTGCAATAACAAACAACATAGGAGACAGTGGAAAATATGTTGATGCTTTATGCAATTCATATATGGTACATGTTTAAAAAAATTGTGATCTCCAACTTTTGTATTATATGCTGTTACAAAAAGTAGGTGATGGAATATGCAAATCTTCCTACATATATGTTAAAAGTATTTGTGGTTCTTATTATTAATTTAGGAATTGTAAAATTGAGTTGTAAAAGTTAATTTTTTTAACGTGTTAGGAAAATATGTTGATACAATATGCAATTCATACATGATACGTGTTTAAATAAGTTGTGAGTATAATAAATTGATCTGTCCAACTTTTGTATTGTATGCTGTTAGAAAAAATAGGTGACAAACTCAGCCTTCAAATTTTTTGATTACCAACAATCACCACCGGATTACCACCATATAAGATAAACTTTGATATATCATTATAAATAAAGTTACAAGAAATTCAAAATAACAACCTAATACTTATATTAATGATTGGAGCTTCAGTTTCTCATCGGACTATCAGAAATTTTTTAGGGGAATCTCTCATTCTTGGAAATTTTAGCTTCTCGCCAGAATGTATGGTGATTTTTTTGACTAGATCTCCTTTTGTTTGTTTCAAAACGGGAACGGACCTTCTTTGAATAAGGAGATCCTTTTGCTTATTTGTACGTCCTCAGTTTAGCTTCTTCGCCGAATAATCTGACTTTCTTGGTTGCCTTGTCTGAATCGGTACTAATGATCTTGGATGAGGTTGAGTTTGGATATTTCAAATTTCATAGAGGAATTTCCTATTTGATATTTCAAACTCAGTATATATATAGTAGAGTTTTGAGAGAATGTCAAATTTCCTTTTGGAGGGAAATTGAAAATTGAAACTCAAATACGGTTTTGGAAACATGCAATAATACGGTGTATAAAGAAGATGTATAAATTACATATATAAGACACAATATGGTAAATACTCCTTTAATCCATTTGCCAACTCAGCAATTTACCCTAGTGAGAGGTGCAAAGGAGAGGATTTTTGTCCTATAATATGAGGCATTGCTTTTTATTTTATATTGATATATCAAATTTTATAATTTTCAAACCTATACTATTACAGTCACATGAGAAAATTTACTATTATGTTGCATAAATACGGACTTGTACCAAATTCAGCACGATTTATCCCTACTGTAGATTTATATCTCTGTTATTATTCTCTAAATAATAGTAAAGTATTTGAAACCCTTTCTATGTTTTTCCAAATATTAGCTATAGAGACATTTTGCACCTCAATCATGTTAGATACATGTCTTGAAGGATATGAAAAGTACCATATATATATATATATATATATATATATATATATATATATTATATTATTTTCATATCATGGATACTTTAATTTGGCAACTATCCAACAAGCATCCATGTGTATTTTAAGAGTGACACATCCAATATGGATATCGTATGAATTCAACAATCTTTCAGAAGCAATGTGATTCATAACTTAAACACCACTCATTAAGTTTGAAAATTTCCCTACCTATCAAAAGTTTAATGCTTTTGAAGTAGTATGGAAACCAAGTGTACAACTTACTTTTTGTGTATAAAGATCTAGTGCAATGGATAAAGATCGATGTCAAACCATAT